TTCGAGACAAGATTCACACTAGACCCAGAATCACAAAGAGCTTCCTTAAATTCTACTCCATCAATGGAACAAGATAAAATAAACTTTCCAGGTTCATCAACCTTAGGCAATACCTTCAGTGAAAGTGTGGTGAATGCCTTGGTATAGAGGGCTTTGATTTCTTCTTGAGTCTCTCTACTGTATTTGAAGAATGAATGCAATGGCTGAATCTACGGAGTATCTTTGAATGAGAGTTCTTTAGGAAGATTTCTCACCATTTTATTAAAGCCTTCCATCTCCTCTGCACTAATGGGATCCCTCATATGTCTAGGTGGAATAGGATCGGGAACCTTAAGAACATAGAATCGAAGTGGTGGAGCCTCAGCAGGTTCGTTAGGAGCAGTCGCTTTAAAGCTAACAGACTGCTCTGTGTTCTCTTCTGCACCTAGAACAGTCTCAGTGAGCGGCTGCTCTATTGCATTACAATGCTCAGTCCTAGAGTTTTATCAGTTTTTCCAGGGAGCGTCCTTTGTTGCCTCTTGACTCTCTCAGCTGTTTGAGCAAGCTGAACATCAATCCTCTTTATGTGGGTTGCTCACAGTATCATATTTTGTATTCAGCTTAGTGAACATGTTGTCCACTCTGGTGTTAATTTATGAGGTAACCTGGTGCAATGCCTTTCCCTGAATTTGTTGTCCCTGCAACAGTTGTTGCATCATCATACCCAAACTTTTCAGCTCATCTTGCGGATCACTGGTAGTAGCTGGAGGAGCATGATGGTTGCTCTACGTCTGCTGCTAGTTATGATTCTGATTTTGACCCACAAACTGGCTCTGTGCCTGACTGAAAACAAACGTTTTACCCTGAAAGTTCGGAAGGAAGCCTTGCTGATACCTCGCACCTTGTGCATGGTTGTTCTGCGCATACCCATGTCCGTTGATGTAACTGATCTCTTGCTGATTGTTCCCTTTCTTTTCAGCTTCGAGAGTAACTTCTTGAGTGTTCTGAATCTGCTCAGTCATAGCTTCCTCCATGATGTAGACTTTTCATTGGTTGTTCTTAAGCAGCAGGTCAATCTTAGCTGTCAGCTCATCAATCTTCTGGGTGAGGACACTGTTCACTTCCTTGGAGCGATCGATCTCCTGGTTCCTATTGGCTGAACTAGCAGCCATGATTTCAATCATCTCAAAGGCTCCATCAGTGGTCTGAGTCATGAAGTCTCCATTGCTCGCAGAGTTTAGAACACTTCGGTATTCCCAATCCACACCATCATAGAAGATTCCTAGGATATGGTCATCGTCAAACCCCTGATGAGGGCACTCCCTAAGGATGTCTTTGAACTGCTCCCATGCTTCATTAAATGGTTCTTTCGCATGTTGCTTGAAAGAGGAGATCTTAAGAGCAGGTTTTTTGGCCTTTGTGAAGAAATGGCCCAGGAAAGCCGCTCTGACTTGTTCCCATGTAGTGAGGAACCTGTAAGAAGTGACTTAAGCCATCTTGAAGCATTGTCTGCTAGAGAAAAACGGGAACAACATGCATTTGATAAAATTGGGTGGTACGGCGTTCGCACGAGTAAAATTCGAATCCCTCGATGTGTTTCATTGGTATCCCAGCTGGCAGCCCATGAAACATCTTTCTCTGTACCAGGTTGGTCATGGCAGGTTTGATCTCAAAGTCTTGCCTGGGACATGGCGGTGGAGCAATGGCAGAGCGCATAGCAGGGATGTTACGCGGTAGGTTTCTCTGCCCGATCGAAACAGTTTGCTCCGGTTGTTCCTGCTGCGCGGGAGCAGCATCCTGCTAAGCTTGGATGGTCTGCTGCATCTGAAGCATCTGATGTTGCATATGTTGCAACGCAGCAGCAAGATCATCAAGATGGCCTTGATCACCCATGTTGATGTTGTTTGGCCTTTGTTGTTGTCGATTGGTTCTTTCTAACCTTGCTAGCTCATGTTTGTTATGTGTAATCTCCTTGTGCGTTGCTCCGAGTTTGTCAACTGGTCATGCATCTGGAACATTATCTGCAACAAATAAGATAAGGCAAGTTAGAGGTTTTAGACTAAATAAATAACCAAAAAATAAAGGTAAAAAGCTGGTCCCCAGCAACGGCGCCAAAACTTGATACACTAAAATTGTGTCTTTACTATTGCTAGCTAACAGTGTAGATGTAGTATTTGAGATTCAATTTCAGAGGACCAGTTTACACTTTATCTCTATGGAATCAGTATTAAGCTAAAACAATATGGGGGTTTCAAAGAGAAGAAATTGTAAAGAGCAAGTAACAAGTTGGTTTGGTTTCAGATTATAAAAGAGCTAGGTTCAGGGTGATTCATTGGGATACTTAGGATCATGAGCTATACAACTATTCAGGAAACCAATACGAGCCAATCTAGAACTTGAACAACAAGGTTAGATAAACCAATGTCGTGGTATCTACTAATTTATCAAGCAATCCTAATATCTAAACAATCGTTTGGATTAGAGATTGATGACAAGCATTAAGATCAGATTCAATTGCTTCACGATTTGCCTTAACATCAACTCTCGTTGGCTAAAGACAAATCGCTTATCTATGCTTTTTTTAGTAACCTAAAACACTTTTGCTGATTAGATTAAACTTGTAATCAGATGATAAATTGCCAGTTTAACACAAGCAATAAGTACAGCAATAGATATATATATCAAATAATAACAATCTTATTTGTGTCTAACTCACTAACCCATGATCCCTAACACCCTAAACCTAACAAGCGACTACTCAGCCATGAACTGAGAAATCACAGAAAATAAAGATGAAGAAAACATGTCTGAATCAATTAATAATAAGCAAGAGGGTTTAGAAATCTTCTCCAAAGGTTGTAGAGAATTTTCTCCCTCAAAGTTACAAAGTATTGAATCACAAATCTCCAAAAGCTCAATTCTGGTTTCTTGTGTAAAAAGTAGTGTAGAATGTAATAGAAAAGAGGAAAATAATATATATGGAGTCTACTGATGGCTGGAGAGCAAAATTGGGATGATTTGGGCAAATCCCAAAATATTAGAAGTTCCCATAAAAATCTATGCTGCGGGAACATGCATTTCAGGCTGCTACGCTAGGCTGCTTCGCACGGAAATCTCCAATTTGTACTTTTTCTGCCTCTTTTACTTCAACTGGTCTATCTTCTATCCAATGCAACTCCAGACCTGTAATGACTTAGAAAGGACTAGAAAGGACTCGATAAAAACTCAAAAACACATTAGAAAACATTGTTAGAATGTGCCAAAAACACCATATATCAATCTCGTAATGTTTCGGCGAGAAAATTAGCCGCAACGATGCGAAGCAAGCTCGGGAAAGAGAATCATTCTGAATATACGTCTCCCACAATATTCTGAAACTCCATTGTCGGCTCGTCAGAGATTGAAGAAGATGAGCTGATAAAGATCAAACCTAGAACTCGAGCAAGAGAATCCTTTCATTTGTCCGGGCCGCACACACACTTTCACTCGATATGTTAAAAGCCATGGTCTAAGCCCATTAGAATATAGATTAAATGAAACTATGAGTTTTGCTCTTGAGACACGTGTCATGCTCACCGAATCCGACTTTCGAACCTGTGCGCCTACATGGCACACCCCATGAGAGACTAAACAATATTTTATATAATAAGATACTCAGAAGATTCTTAAAATCTATGTAACCAAAACACAAATACACAAACCCAAAAAGTTTTCTACATTTTTTATTGTCAAGGGAAATATAATTGTGAAAAGAAAATTAAACCTAAAAGAAAAAATTTAAAATAAGATAATCTAAAAGCATGAAAAAATCTCATAGGTTGGTCGTAAAAGAAATTAATAAAAAAATCAAACAAGACAAATCAAAATTTCAAAATATTAAAAAATCAAAAAAAAATTATTATCAAATAGTTATATTTCATGAAAGGCTTTTTTCTTTTTAAATAATAGAAAGATGAATTTGGAAAGAAAAATTTATATGGAAATCTATAATAATCAAGGACAATTTATACAATACATTCGGTAAAAATTCATCAAATCCACTAAAATTTTAAAAATCTATTAACTTTTTAAATTTCCAAACTCCACATAAATTATATTTTCGTTAGGCCCCCTAAGTATGTAGAAACTACATTTCAAAACAAAAAAGAAAATTCTTTAAAACTACTTACAATATGAACGGAGGAAATATTAAATTTATATTTTCATATACAAGTAATATGTACATCCTTCGGTCGACGCAAAAAAAATGTTGAAATAATATGGGATAAGTATTTTCCAAAAGGAAAGAAAGGAATAAGTAATGAGTGGCGGGCGTGGCGGCTGTAACCGTAATGACTTTTACTTTGGCCAGAAAGATAGATTTTGTTACTTTCTATTTGTCGCCGCCTTTGATATTTTCAAAACATCGTGACTCAGCTGTCTTTACCCAATAATAATGAGAAGATTTAAATTAAATACCTTCGATGACCGATTGGCCATGCTTTCGCTGTTTACGTTTACAATGATTTAGTGTTGGAGAATGTTTAGACGAATACATATTACAACATGTTGGACACAATATTTACAATGTTACATTGTAACATCTCTTGGTGACTAGAAGAGTGCTGAGCGCTCTAGATGTGCTTTCTCGTGATCAAGGATCTGAAGAAACTACTACATAATACAAAAAAATAGAAGAAATATTTTTATTCAAGTGATATTTATATATAAACCCCAAGAAGTCAAGAACCCCGAAATTCGGTAAGTTTATATCCTTTCAACAATAAAATATTGTAGTTAGGTTAAAAAAGGGTTGACATGGTCCAATTGAGGAAGAAAAGAAGTTCACGAAAAGTCCATGTAGAGAATAACCAATAAGTTTGGAGCTCCAGATGGACGAAGCTACAAGTTACTTTGACTCGTAAATATACTAAGAATGAAGACCTAGTCGGACGCTGGTATAGCAGCCCCTTGCGTCCTATAAATACATAAAGCTTGTTAAGCTCCCATAACATATCACAAAAAGTAACCACATAATATCTGACGATCAGAGTTATATCTTCTCAAGGATCGATATACATTGCCTTCTGTTAGATGCAAATGGAGAGCCCAAAATCACCTCTTCAACCCCCAACTTACGGAAACTTAGTTACAATCCTCAGCATCGATGGTGGTGGCATTAGAGGGATTATTCCTGCCACTATCCTTACTTTTCTGGAATCGGAACTTCAGGTATACTTGTTCTACTTCCTACTTAACTATATATTATATCTATAACACTTCTATTTTGTTAACTTAAGTAATGATCTTTTGAGTTAATACAAATTTGCAGTATAATACAGTTACAAAAAAAAAAAAACCAAATTTGCAATATAAACAATTTTATATGGAATCATTCTCATGTTACAACTATCTATAATCACATGTATGTGCAGAAACTGGACGGAGAAGAAGCGAGGCTTGCAGACTACTTTGATGTTATGGCAGGAACAAGCACCGGTGGTCTGGTTACTGCCATGCTCACTGCTCCTAACAAGGAAGGTCGGCCCTTGTTTGCAGCCTCTGAGATCAAAGAATTTTATCTTGAGCACTGTCCAAAAATCTTTCCACAAGATCATTTCCCATTCTCTGCCACCAAAAACTTGATGAAGTCCTTGACTGGTCCAAAGTATGATGGTGAATACCTTCATCAACTTATTCATGCCAAGCTGGGTGATACAAGGTTGCATCAAACACTTACCAACATTGTCATTCCAACGTTCGATATCAAGCATCTTCAACCTACTATATTTAGTAGTTACGAGGTTTGTTTAGCTTATTTATGTCTACGAAGTTACTACGATATATTCAGATATACGAAAGCTTTATACAATAAAGATCTGTCAGGTGAAGAAAAATCCTCTCAAGAACGCAACCCTCGCTGACATAACCATCTCAACTTCAGCAGCCCCTACATACTTGCCTGCCCATTTCTTCAAAACTCAAGACTCAGATGGAAACATAAAAGAATACAATCTTATTGACGGGGGAGTTGCAGCAAACAATCCGGTAAATTACTAGAGATATGAATTATTGTCGTAGTATGCTAAAAACATGGATTGAAATATTTTTCACAAAAAAAAAAACAAAAAAAATGGATTAAAATAATAAACGATTTGTAAATAGTAATATGCTCTCAACATGGATAAAATATTTTTCAAAAAAAACCCAAAAGAATATGATTTAAATAATAAATAATAAACATGGATCAATAAAAAAAATAAAATAGTAAATAACTAATATTTTATTAATCTTTTAATTAAAAATATGCCTTTACAGAACCTTACAATTTTAATAATTCATTGAGGATATTAATGTCATATCAATTTTAAATATAAATTTAAAATTTATTTTAGTTAAAAAAAGTGTTGAAAAATATATAAAACAATCTTACAAAAAATTTCAAATATTTTTATAAAATAATGTATTATTTTAGTAACAAGAAACATTCAATGTCATATAACCTTCAAAACTCAAAATAGATGTGTACTTTTAAGAAAAAAACTTATTGGAAAATATATAATTTGAAAATAAACATTTCAAAATTATAATATTCCAAATTTTACAAAAAATATAAGCATAGATGCTAATATATATATTTTGGAATGAAAAACAAAAAAAAAAACCAAAATTACGTTGTAAAAATAAAAAGTACGTACTGCCAATTTCTGAAATTTTAATTCCAAAAATTTCATTTGTCAATAAAATTAACTAAATAAAAGGTCACCATAATTAATTTATATCGCCCTAATATCTAGAATACAACTTTATGATTGTAATTTATAGTTTTTACATATCAAAATTCTATATTATCTTAACTAACTATTCTGTGTTTCAAAGAAAAAAATTAACTAACTTTTCTTTTGTAGAAATTTTATTTTGACCAAAAATAAGCTGTTCTAAATTGAAAATATATTGGAAGATAATATTTCTCTTTACAACTACCAGTAAAAACATTTTCAGTATGTTTAAATTACTAAACAAAAATTGTATTTAGTTATCAGATCCTAAGATATACTAAAATGATAAATGTTACATTATAATTTTTAAACAGAAACATGAAAATTAAAATTATTCGAAATAACTCTCCTTTCTATAGTATAATTAAACATACTTTTAAAACGTCTTGTATGCAAACTGTGGAAAATGAAAAAAACATATTTCGAAGAATATTCTATATTTGATTAGTTAAAATTATGAATTTGTTATACGGAACTTGAAAAATATATTAGTATGTAATAAAATTATTAACAAACTAAATTATTTATAAAATAAATCATTATATATTAAGAATGTGGAATAAGAAACCTAAACAATACAAATATAGAGTTACATAATATATAACACTAAAATGTAAATCACATAATCAAAATGTTTAATACTATATCAGACATTTATAAAATAAAATAATAACATGTGCGAGTCAAAACTCTAAGTTTAGTCTAGAATTTCATGGTCTTGATTGTTATTTTTTGTCATAGTAGGGTTTGTATAAGATAAACATTTGGACATATCTTAACAATATTATAAAGTTAATGGAATTATCTATGACCTTAAACTAGCATGTATGGGGAAGATTTTTAATTTTTTTTTTTGTTAGCGTTTGGGTTTTCATATTATAAGATATTAATTATATTATAAAATTGAAACACGATGAAAATAAATCCGAGCTTTTATTTTGTTTTGATTATTTTCTCGTATGGGGCTTACGTTATATCTCCACCTGGTCATTAGTTGACCAGAAAAAGCCATCCAGGCATTAATATCTACAGAAGGATTGTATAATAGTTTAGTCTTTTTTTTTTTTTTTTTTTTTTTTTGAAACACTATAATAGTTTAGTCAAAAAAGCATTGTATAATAGTATATATTATATAGGCTTTGGTGGCCATTGGGGAGGTGACAAAAGAGATAACAAGAGGGAGCAGTGACTTTTTCCCGATAAGACCAAATGATTACGGAAGGTTTCTTGTGCTTTCTCTTGGAACTGGAACTCGTAAATCAGAAGAGAAATTTAATGCAAATGAAGTAGCTGGATGGGGAATGTTGAGTTGGTTAACACACGACAACTCTACACCTCTTATTGATGCTTTCATGCAAGCTAGTTCCGATATGGTTGATTTTCATCTCTCTGCCGTTTTCCGAGCTCTTCATTCTGAAGCCAACTATATTCGAATCCAGGTGCCAAAATCAGCTTACTAATCTTCTCCTTTTCTTCGTCGCCATATATAACAATGGGTTTCATTATACAGGATGATACATTAAATGGGGATGCTGCTTCTGTTGATATTTCTACCGTTGAGAATCTCGACATTCTCGCCAAGACAGGAGATGAACTACTCAAGAAACCTGTTTCAAGAGTTAATCTTGAGTCGGGCTGTAATGAAAATGCTTATGAAGTGACCAATGAAAAGGCCCTCATAAAGTATGATACATAATTTTGCGTTTGCTATCTTTATTCATTCATATTTACATGATTAGAAATGTTTGATTAATATATGTATACTTTGGCTGTGTAGGTTAGCAGGAATACTTTCAAAAGAAAAGAAGATCCGAGATTTGCGATCTCCTCATGAAAATGCGCCAAATAAAAAATAAAAGATCAGTTATTTATTTTACCAAAAAAAGAGATCAATTATTTAATCTTTCTGTAGTTTTTTTTTTTTATTGTTTATTTTCTTATCTATTGTTGATAACTTGTTTGGTTCACTAACGCAAGTTTGGTTTTTATAATAATAAATGATTGCCGCTCATTGTAGTTTTTTTCTTTCTGAAACGTCCAACATACATACATTAGAACAAGAGAAATTTGACCTCATAAACATAGCCCACATAAAAATTAAATCCCCCAACGATAATAAACCTATGGTTACTATATGTTATATATTGTTATGTTTATTCCCCAAAATATCCTGCAACTACGCATGGAAAATGAACTGTTTCTTTGCTTTCGTTTTCCATAACCATAACATACCATCACACCTTTTCCCGCTTATGAAATCAAACGAGGAGTTGTCATTTTGTACGAATTGGGGGAGAAGGGGGTGATGTGGATAAAGTTCAATTCTTTACCACGCTGCTCCAACAACAGTGTCGATGTAGTAGTAAAAATGTCAATCCATCCTAAGATTGTCTAAAGCATGAAGAATATCGGAAGTCATTTAATCTAAGCAAATAAAGTTAGGTTTAGAATGATGAACTAAGTTTCAAACAACAAACTCAAGCGAGAACAAATTATAATCAAGACTAAATGGCTAAACTCATGGGATAAGGCAATTGATTTCGGGTGATAGACTTCAGACTTAAGATGTTCAATAAAATCAACTAATAAGCTTCTTTAACCTACGAACACAATAATAAGCTAATCCACTCTCGTGACAGAAACTCCTATGCTAGTCATGCATCAATACATCAACTCTCGTTGGTCATCTACACTCAAGCATGCATTCTAACGAGTCCTAATAGTCGAAGCAACCTTGATGCAGGGATTCTTGTCAGTCAAGCAGCAAAACACAATATGAGACATTCAGACATTTCATCGAGCACGTCTCGAGGATGAAATAATCCAAAATCTAGAAATAGAGAAATCAAGCCTACTATATCATTAAGTACATCTCATTTGTAAGAAACATCATTAATCTTGTCCTAAACATCTTAAAGCATCCATCTTTCACCCTAATCTACCTAATCCATGAGTTTATAAGGAGACTACTCACTAATAGTCATGAAAACTTCAGAACTATTGTTTAGTATAAGGTTAAACATGATTAGAAGAACAGATAATCAAGATAACACAAGATTAAAAGCTTAAAGATCCAAACTTTTACAAAGTTCTTAAGAGAGAAAAGTAGATCTGAAAAAGAAAGATAAGATTAGGGTTTTACTTAAGAGAGATATATATATATAAGTCATTAAAATAAAGGTCAATCGCTGTTTAATGAAACGCAGCGATCAAACCAAGCTGCATTTGGCGTTTGCGTTTGGTCAACATCTTCTTCCTCTCCTCTTGTGTGTCTCGAGATCAGGCTCTCTCTCTCTCTCTTCGCCATGGTCTTGTCTCGGTCAAACGCCTTGCGTCGTGACTGTGGGAACCAAAATTCACCTACTGTAAAGATTACGTAAATTTGGGAATTTAGAGTAAACCCTAACTTCCCAGAGGACCCGGCTATCTGCGGAACCGCACACAAGCAACCAAGAACGCGATTAATATGAATAAGTTAAAGAGATGTAAAGAAAAAAACGAGATTGAGAGGAAAAGGATTCTTATTCCGAGTTCACGTAAGAACGGTACAACAAGAGTAAGCCTTAGCTGCGTGAGCCGTCGGCGATATTCTTAACCCTAGTAATCTAAGACTAAAACCCTAGTTGAGACGCAGCTTGATAACGAAAACGAAAAATATTCCTAAGTGCTAAGTTTGGTGGTGAAAGTTCTGAAAACTCGTCCCTTGCTTCTGTCCTTTGCCTTCTGCTTATATACTCCCTCCTTACGCGGTTTAGTCCTTCCTTTTCGCCTAGATTTGAGTTTATCGGGAATCTTCCATTTATCTCGATCTTTCCTTTTTCTGTGCATACATCTTCTATTTATCTTCAAACTTGACATTTATCTTCAAACTTGACATTTATCTTCTTTCTGCAAGTAAATCCCAAAACCGTCATTGTATCTTTGGGCTGGATTTCGTTTAAAGTCGCAAGTGGGTTTTTATCACGCTTTTGGGCTGTCCGAGCCGTTTTGCGATAAAAACCGTTTTACGATTTTAGACGAGATCGTTTCCTGATACGATGCCTATTTTATAAGATTTCTTGAGTTGATCGTATAGTTTGACAATGTACGATGTTCCGTTTAATCGTTGCCGTTTTGTAAAACGATCTTCTCGAATTTTATGAGAAAAGAAGAGTTCTACGATTCTTATCGTAAAACTTAAACGGTGAGATGGATCGAGACGAAACGAAAGACGTTTCGACCTTGGTTCAGAGCATGATCGAACCAAAGGAGGTATTCCTTGAGTCGAGGATGTGGGAGATCGAGGCTCGGGATGGTCAGCTTGACGTACGGCGAGCTGTCGGGAGATGGCCAGCTCGCCGTACAGCGAGCTGGTCCGAGACCGACCAGTTCGCCGTACGGCGAGCTGAACCGACTGGTTCGGCTTGTCGTACGTTGAACTTGGTTTGGTCGAACCTACTCACGGTTTACGGCTGATGCGGTTTTTTGCGGTTTTTGCTTAACTTGGGCAATTGTGTAATCGACGATTGTTTCGTTCGTTCTTCTACGATGAGGATTTCCAAGTTTTCCGCAGATTTCCTTTGTTCGTAATGTCTTTAGAATTTTATAAAACAACTTCTCGAGTTTTATAAAAAGTATTTTAATTTTTTGCGGAAAGTTTTGGTCATTGATTCCGTCGTACCGATTTTGACCCCAACAGTTAGCCCCCCAGCTCGTAAGAATCGTGGAGTTCTTGCGAGCGGTTTGAACTTGTTCGGCAAGTTTAGTGGAATTAGGAGGAATTTAATGGCCAAAAGTCCAAAGGTGAATAGTAAAATTTCTCTTTTAAGTATATGGAGTAAATTTTCAAATTCTTTACTCACTTCCTTCCATAACTTATCTAAGATTCAAGAAATTTTCTCTCTTCATTTCCCTTTGAATCTCTTTCTCTCACGATTTCTCAACATGTCTACTGAGTGGAAAGCTTCGGAGCACGCTCACGCATCGATTTTTGATCCAAGTGACCTCGAAATCTTCGGTGGTTGTGCCCTCCCCAAGCTGATCTTCCTGCAGTTTGCCATGAGTAGGAAAGAGATCACGAAGTATTGGTCGGTTTTGGATATTGCCGACGTTCCTCCAGCCAGCTTCTGGGTTCCAAAGAGGGATAAGCTTCGAAGGAACACAGACCTTCACAAGGCGCAGCCCTAATCTCAAACACATTCCGCTTCCTGGAGAATGGGAAGATCACTCTCAACGGACCATTCCAACCATTTATTCCGCCTAATTTAACTAAAACTGGCTAACCACTCGCAAGAACTTTACACTAGAAGCTCAAGATTCTAGCGAGCTGGAGGGCTAACTGTTGGTGTCAAAATCGGTCATGACGGAATCAATGGCTAAAAGTCTCCGCAAAAGTAAAAATAAAAATACGTTTTATAAAACTCGAGAGATCGTTTTATAAAACTCGAGAAATCGTATTATAAGACTCGAGAAATCGTTTTATAAAACTTGAGAGATCGTTTTATAAAACTCGAGAATCGTTTTATAAAACTCGAAGAATCGTTTTATTAAACTCGAGAGTTCGTTTTATAAAACTCGAGAAATCGTTTTATAAGACTCGAGAAATCGTTTTATAAAACTCGAGAAATCGTTTTATAAAACTCTAAGAATCATTTTTATAAAACCGCGAAAAACCAAAACCACCGTAAAACGCTATTTAGTCACGACTAGTTCGACAGCAGGCGAACTAGGAGCCTCCCGACTGGCTTAGTTCGGCGTAAAACTCTGTTTTCTTGAAAAGAACTCTTAGAAATTGTATAAAACGGCAACGGTAAGACACTGAACATCGCCTAAACTATACGATTTATTCGAGATTTTTCGTTAAAATCGTAAAAATGCATTTTTAATAAAAACGTCGAGTAAATCGTAAAAACGCGTTTTTTAATAAAAATGTCGAGTAAATCGTAAAAGACGGAAACGATTAACCAAGAAACGAACGTCGCTAAACATTACGATTAACTCGAGGAATTTACTAAAAACGGCATCGAATCAGGAAACGATTCCGTACAAGGTCGAAAAACGGATTTATCGCAAAACGGTCCGGAAGGTCCTAAAACGCGATAAAAGCCCATCTCGCGATCTCAACAGAATCTAACCCAAAGATACGATAAATGTCAAGCTTGAAGATAAAAGACAAGTTTGAAGATAAATAGAAGATTTCCGCGGAAGAAAAGGAAGGATCGAGAAAAATGGAAGATTCCCGATACACTCAAATCCGAGCAAAATGGAAAAATCGAATCGCCAGGGCGAGGAGTATATAAGCAAGAGGCATAGGGCAGAAGCAACGGAGACGAGTTTTCAGAGCTTTCACCACCAAACTTAGCATTTAGGCAATTTTCTGTTTTCATTATCGAGCTGCGTCTCAACTAGGGTTTTAGTCTTAGATTGCTAGAACTAGTAATTTTGCCGACGGCTCACGCATCTAAGGCAACTCTCGTTGTAACCGTTCTTACACGAATTCGGAATAAGAATCCTTCTTGCTTTCAATCTCGTTTTTATTTTTATATCTTTCAATTTATTCATATTAATCGCGTTCTTGGTTACTTGTCATTGGCTTTCGCAGAGATCCGGTTCCTCTGAAAAATTAGGGTTTTCCTAACTTTCCTTATTTTACGGAAATCGACAGGTGTGAATTTCGGTTCCCACAGCTCTTAGGCACGCCCTTCCTTGCTACTGTGGGAGCTTGTATAGAATTTCTGTGGGTGTCGAAATCCACCTACTGTCAAATAATCGTAAATAAGGAAACTTCGGGAAAACCCTAAGTTTCCAGAGGAACCGGCTATCTGCAGAACCGCACAACGAAGATTAAGATAACGAGAAAACTTAGAATTATTAAAAGATAAACGAAAATCGAGAGCAAAGAGGTTCTTATTCCGAATCTGCGTTGAACTAATACAAAGAGAGTAGCCGAAAACTTAAGAACAAAAAACTCTAATTGAGACGCAGCTCGCTAACAGAAAAACGGAAAGATTCCTAAATGCTAGTTTTGGTGG